TTTTGTATAACTGTCTACCTCTGCACTGGTTCGTAATGATGCTCGCTGTACCTCGTCGCGTATGATCTCAACTCTCGTTGCGTACGATCTCGGCCACTAAGAGCGACGCCGGGCGCTCAGCAGCGGGAAGCAGCTTTTGGAGCTCCTCTCGCACGACGTCCCGGATGATGTCGGGTACATCCCATGTAGCGGAGACCAGGTAGCAGCTTGACGTCAAGGATGCAACGATGCTAGGTAGTCGCTAGCTCGGACAGCACATCTTAGGAGCGTCCTCCAGCAACATTGCCCCGTGAATTTCTTCGACACCAGCCAACTCGAGAGGCCCTCACCAAGTGTGTTAAGTCAGCGAAAGCCTAGTGGTGCAGTTGTGGCAGCTATAACCATTAGCCAGTCTTCAACCTCGCGAAATCAATTTCTGGTAGAAGTACTTGGCACCCCTCTAGCAGGGCTGTCAACACTCTGGTCAGTGTTTGAGACTTCAGTGAGCATGCTGCATGCATCAGATTAAAGTCAGGGAAAAGCCCCGAAAGCTGCTGCCGACTAACCAGCTACTTTTCTCAGGTTGAAAATTTCGAAAAAGCAACAGGTGAAATTGTCATCTTGTTCTCTTTGCTTCTATCAGACACTGGACTGCTCAACACTTACCAACAGCACTTTTCCTTTTGTCATGAAGAAACAATTGCACAGGTGCCAGACCTACTGGTATACATGACTTGCATTGACATTACAGCAGCCATTGTGGCGACCTCACTGCAGAGTGCATGCTGTTATGATCGGCCACCCAGAGGGCAGGTTCGGCTTCCTGGCAGCGCCATCGACCACCCATCGAGTGACCAGAGACTCGGGCTCGGCATTCTGACGCCGCCGAACATGCCGACCGACGCGGCGTGGGTGGGGTGCGGCTTCCGGGCGACACCGAGCGGGCCACCCGGCACAGCGGGAGCTGACCCCCCTGACACCCCGCTGAGAAACGGGGGCCCGCTTCCTCGGCCTTCGGACCGGGTGCTAATGAACGACGTAGACAAGTGGAGACGTTTGGGTCTCGGCGTGTGATCGGGAGAGCTGCCTGTTCCCGCGATCTTCTGGGAGACGGGACGAGAGAGATGCTTGGACCGGGGTGTGACCACGTGGGAGGTCCGCGTCCCGGGAGACCTGCAGAGACGTCCCGTGGTGACGAAAGTGCCCTTTCCCCTCGCGGGACTTTGGACAGGGACCCCCTCGCCACTTCAAGGAGGCTACATTAGCCGGTGCTCGGACTCGTCAAGAGTCTTCCCTTCTCAGACGCCAAAGCTGAAAGATGACGATGTAAATATTCCTGTATATAAACGTCTTCTCCTCTCTGTGATCGCTCCTCAGTATCTTCGAAGTCCACGACGCTTGGAAGTGGGAGCATGCTCGGCCCGGAATCGTAACAATGCCTTTCTCAGCATACATTTTGCATAACCAAATTTTCTTTCTCCACAAGTAGGAACAGGGTGTCTAGCAAATTATTCTTTTGAAATTCCCCAACTTTTCCAGGTTTTCCCAGACAATTTCAGGTGAAATTCCCTGACCACTCTAGAGGCGGTTAAATATATAAGACCATTACAACAAAAGGCATTGAGCATTGAGCACAATGAAGATTATTTTGCACGGGCCTCATCTAACTTGCATATTCCGAAATATTTGGGTTCGTCCAGTTCGGATTAAACAAGCACTTTCTTGCTGCTGACATCAGAGTGAAGAGGCCGCTTTCGGAAACACGATGGAAACACAACACTCAACCACACACGTCAACAACCAAATGGCAACATGGCCGCTAGATGCACTTTCGGATATTTTCAACTTAAGGCTTGGATTGGGGTCTGTGGCTTTCCCATTTGTCGTGCTCTCAATCCAATCCAATCCATGGCTTCGACTGGATTTATCGATACTCTTTGCATCGGATAGCACACTCTACATCGGGGGAGCAGAGCCCGCGCCTCAATCTAAGCAGAATTTACTGCCTATATTTCTGCCCCCAAGTTCTCAAGTCTGCTCAGGACACTCGATAGCGTTTCCGGCTCATTTTCCCTGACTGGGCTCGCTTTTTGACAATTTCCCTGACAATTCCCCGATTTTTCCCGGTAATTGAAATTTCCCCGACAATCCCCGGTTTTCCCAGTCGCTAGACACCCTGAGGAATGACCACCAGCATGGTCCAATGATGTCACATGCAAGCCATCTGTACAGAAACAGAGGAATTGAAACAGTCATGGAAGGCAGCTTTATTGTTCTCCAAGGAACACAAACCACCGAAATGTCAATGGCCCCAGGCCTGGCACCGGCATCGGTTCTTACTCAATGCACAGTGCAAGCCAAACAGCTCCAGTCCTCACCAAAGGGGTGTGGAGTCAAATCGAGGACCGCGAGAAAGAGTGCTGCAGGCATGCTCAGACAACACTAGCATAGCAAGTGCCTTTGCTGCACAGCCTTTCAAGCAATGAAAGTAGGAACCTTGTCAACAACCTTATGCAAATGAACACATCATTCACATGCTCGTTTTCACACCATGAAAAGAAAAAGGCTAAAGTGAGCTTTTCTTCCAACAAGTCTGCACAGTGATGAACAATGGCCAAAGTACCATAACTGAATTTCGAAACGTTTCAACCTACTTCAACAACCTTCAACCTACTTCAACAACAACAACGTAAGAGACAGGAAATCGTTCACACGATTTCCCGTCTCTTACGTTCACGATCGAGGGCTCGAGAAAAGTCCCATAGAGCTACACTGCTTCTTTGCCAGTTCACACGCTCCTGGATAATACGATTTGCTGGGAAATATGTTCAAAGTTTCACCAAACACCGATTGGATTATACATTTTCTGGGCATCGAGCCGATGGAAGCCCTGCATGTTTCTCACCACGCGCTTGGAGATCTTTGGGCAGAACGGCTGTAGCTGCTTGCCGAACGTTCCGAATTGGCATGCTCAAACTAGACTGATCGCGCAGGGTAATCTAGAGGTCCAGCAACTTTGTACAGATTTTGGCCACCTCGAAACAAGTGGTCCCCGTGAGCCAAGACTGCAAACGGCAATTTCGTAGATGCTAAAAGCTAGCTAACATCACTTGCGAGATCACGGTCTTGTTCATTACCGGCGAAGGGCGTCGTATAAAAAAGCTTTTTCACGCTCTGCCTCCTACCAATGTTGGTGCCTGTGACATGCCACTTTCTCTTTCTGTACAAACTATGTACAGACAAGCAACGCGTTCGCTTCTCGGGTTTTCATGATAAGCAAGTGATTAAGAGTCTCTTGGTTACTCCACTGAGTACTTGAAGGCATCCTTTAAACCGACTCCATGCGACTCCGGGGATGATAGATGCTTCCCTAAGAGTAACTCTTGAGTCACATACCTGAGAACCGTCGATGGTGTCGCGCAAGCGGATACCTTCGTCTCCGAAGGAAAAATTAAAAGTCTTGGCGGTTGTCGACCAGGACCTTAAACAGAAGAGAATTGGCATCGCCAAGGACCAAAAACTGCCTGCGTCAACGGTCAAGTCAAAATGAAAGGATGAAGGAGGAAACGCCTTAATCCTCGGCGCAGTGACAAAGCAGGCCTGCGAAGCAAAGCACGGAGAGTTAGAGGATGCGCCGCTTAAGCAAGCACGGGCATCTGGGGTAAACTGCGAAGGCAGTATTTTGTGGCAAGGGGCCATGGACAATGCGGACATCATGGGCAACGGGGATTTCTAAGCGTCGAACGGCCGGATGGGCCGGTTTCAAGTTTACCATGGCATCTCCTACCACTAAGTGAATGGTGAAGCAGCCAGTGTGAATACGGTGGATATCGAGAACTGGGCAGCACTGCTTCCGGGCATTGTGAACCCCTACACCCCAAGTGACGTTTACACCTACGAACGGACTTCTCTTTAAGGTACAACCTACGAAGTCCCCGAGTTTGAAGGGGGAGTCGATCTTCGATTTCTTTTGTTATGTGGCATCTCATGCGAGCACATCTTGCCACGGCGGGAAGGTCAGCAAGGAATGAGTAACCGTGCTGCTCTGCTGCAATGAAGATGGCACGGAAATGATCAAGCCGTGGATGACCGGGAAATGGAAGAACCCGACATGCCCGAAAATCCTTGCTCGACTTTCTCGTGTGTACAAGCAAAACACAGAGGCTTGGATGACCTGCAGCCTCTTCTAAGTGTTTCTGGGGTACCCTGACGGGTGAATGAAGAGCAAGACCGCGAGACTTCTTTCTTTGGATAATCGCTCAGCTCATCCACAGTACACGTCGTTTCTGCGTAACCTCAGAATAGTCTTCCTGCCAGCGAACAAGACGAGTCACCTGCAGCCTCTGGATGCCGGGATCATCAAGAAGGTGAAGCAGCTCTACGGGGAATGCATCGTGCGATGCTTCTCGGCTCACCCGTCCTGGGGAGAAGACCCTGGCAAGCTCACGTTCATATCATGGGAGAGCGTGACCCACGGAACAGTAAAGAACTGTTTCAGGAAATCTCGGTGTTCGCCAGAAGTGGAGGAGCCCCCGACCCTTGCATGACCAAAGACGACATGGACGAGGAGCACCGGTCCGCTGGCACAAAGCAAATGTTCAGCTATTTTGTTGTTGTGGACGACGACGTCTCAACCTCTGACCCCCAAACCGTTGCCGACATTGTGGCGGTTTTGGGAGACAGGGACAAGGAGAATGAGGATGAGCCAGAAACGCCTCCAGCAGCCACTTTCGCTCGGGCAATCGCCGCACTGGATGTGCTGCGGAGCTACTTCGACACCAAAGACAACCCTGCAGCCGAGGAGGGCCTGCAGGTGCTGCAGAAGGAACTCTTCCTGGCAAAAGGTGAGGGTGTGTGCCTGCAGAAGCTGATGGACATTTACGGGAAGTGAGGGACCAGGATTAAATGTTGTTCAACTGCACTCGCGACTTCAATTTTTTCCTGCTGGCTAGAAATGTCAAGTTCGGACAATGCGTTTTCCCGGATCACATGTTTTTCCTCCCATTTTTTTTTGTAACATGTTAACGAGGTTCTACTGAACTTCGGAATAGTCCGAACACCTCGATTCACACACCGTTGAGAACAGTGGAAGCATAGTCGCAGCAGTCACAAACAAGCAACTACTAGAAACGAGGGGAGAATCTTCTTCTGCAGAGACATGCAAACTATCAGAAGCTTACACTCCGATAAAGCAGCAGCGAGGGTAGGTGGAGCCAAGCAACTCCACGTCATCATAAGGCTAATGGTAACTTCTGCATAAAACATCTCCCCGGATCACACAGGAAGGTAAACTTGCCAGCTGCCTTCCTTATTAAAACTAACCTCACTGCTCTCAAATAAGAACAAGGCAGTAGGGAAAGTTCAGAATTATGTAACTCAGTGAACACTTTGCTCAAGGAGTGCGTCGATATTATTTGCGGTGTTCCCAACAGTTCATCTTGAGGAGGTTGTATCCAATGTCCATATCACACGGTAAACTCCAAATGTTATTCAGCCGAATCGGTGAATCGGGGCCCCTGGAGGAGTTTCTGATTCACATAGCATGTAATGAGTCACCATTGCTGCAAGGGCATTTGGCAAAATAACACTGAAGAACGCCACCTACTATGGACGGACGGAAACTTGTTACACAGATTATTTCATATTACCTTTAAAATAACCCTTCACTAATCTTTCCGTTCAATAAAAAAAAATCTTGGACCTCTTGGCAAGATCATTTGGGAATTGAATTTGGCATGTTCACCAGATAGGTAACTCAGCAAATAAAGTAATTTTTTTCTTTCCATGGAAGCACAGCTGCAAGTGCAGCAATGGAGGCAACAATGCAAAAGAGCAGATTACTGAATAGTTCAAATTTCCTCTCTTTCTACACCATTCCAACTGCATTTCAGTTACTCATTTAAGGTAGCAAATGTGGATAGTCCAGAATGAAAGCTCCTGTGTTGTATTCCCTCGAGGTATTCTAAAGAAATTACTCCTTGAAAGAAGAAAAGGTACTTGAGTAGAAGTTACGAGACGATTGGGAAGTCATACTCCAGAAATTAATGACCCAGGGTGAGGTGAAAGGAAATGGTCACACGGACTAGCAGCATGGCATTTACACACCAGCCAGTCATGTTCTCTCAGGACGTGCTCAAGGTGGCGTTCCAGGTAGTCTTCTGGCTGATTACCGTACCTGTGCTGCTTGTGTTTCAGGCAAAAATAACCTAAAAGGTTATCCAGCTTCTCAACCACAACTCCTTTCGCACAAGGATGCAAGGCAGGTGTCTTGCCTACCAGATGGCCATGGGTCTCACGAGTGTAGGCATTTAAGGATCCCCAATACAGAGGAATAATGCCTTAAGCCATCTCCCTACTTATGAAAGGCTGTGCCATTGTTCTGCCCAAATGGGGGAGGTTAGCAGGACTCACCTCCAAAGCAAAGTATGCACAAAACCCAGTTTTATACGAGTGTTCTTATGCATGTAACATTATACTCTATGTTCAACCTACAGCCACTATTACAACTCCTGCTGTGGAGACAGCTACGATATATACACACTAAATGATTCCTAATACACTAAATAAATGAAAAACACCCACAAAGGAACTTGCAGCAACTTTTAGCAGATGCAGTAGAACCCCTCTGTACAAAAATTGGCTTCTCCAGAAAAACCTTCACCACATCAGTACCTCTTATTACGAGTAAACCACAAATGATCTTTTACTACATCAGTCCTCACTATAGAGAGCTTTTGCTTCCCACAAGCATGGAAGAACCAACACGGACACCACGAAACAATGAAACGTAAGTGCCGCGTAGAGCCTACACTTTAACTAGACCGCAACTTCGAGCTACGTTACAAAGAAGACAACATTGTTACTAAGTCGTTCAGGGTTCAGTACTAACATGGTAAATTATGCAAATACAGGGCTAAATAGTCTGTGCCACGATACGCTTTACAGGACGAATTAAAAATTTGAAATCTACTTACACCAGAACTTGCGGAGCAACTGTCTTTACAACAAAACTCGTGCCACCCCGGCCACTCAAAATGTGCAATAAAAGTATGCGGACTTAAAAACGTGAACTGCCGGGTTCGGATGAAATGCGAACACTGGAGCGTGTGGCTGTCGACAAATTCGGCACATCCCGGAGGCCTCTCGAAACCGGCAGAACTGTGGATTGGAGAACAGGGCGCCGCAAAGGTGCGCTCTTACTTTGACACATTTGAGCCTCACCCGGCAAAACCCGCGCTTCCACGCCGCGCCAGCATTGCGCCGGAAGTTGCATTGCCGTTCGCATTTCATTCGAACCCGACAGTACGGACGCGAGACATCAAATTAAAAGGGGACAATCGCGCCTTCTGGAGGGGATGGTGCCAGAAAATCCCGTCTGTTCGAACCCCGCCCGGAACGCGACTAAGAACGTTCCACAAGGTCGACTGCTCCTTGCAGTACGGTGCAACTCCTCGCACACCGCGTGAAGTGCGCCAGAGGCAACTAGCTTTGGAAAGCACATTGGAAGGCAGCACAGTCCTGCTACGGTGCCCGGAACGTTCGCTTGGCACGTTTGGCGTCTTACATTGCCCACGCATCAAACGTGGTCTCAAAGTGTCAACGAACGACGTCGCGACAGTCACCGTCGTTACGTCTCGAGCGTGCCGGGCGCGGTAGTCCCTTGGACCGTTGTGCACGCCGAGCTGCCTTCCAAAGCCGCGCATCCGCGCCTCTCACGGCACGGTGTGCAGCCTTTTGGCCATCTCGTAGCCGGCCGCGTCCCGACCGTCTGATTCCGTAGGCCAGCCCAAACGGCGGCACTCAGGAGAGGAACGTCCGCACGGCGCCGACGATGGTCTTGCGGCAGACGGGACAGTCCTTGATGGAGGCGGCGCAGGCGGGGCAGGCCACCAGGTGGCCGCAAGGCAGGAACACGACGCCCACCTCGGCGTCCAGGCAGATCTTGCACAGGCGCTGCTCTTTCAGGCGGAGGTTTTCTAGCTGCAGCTCCTCCGGGTCGTGGGCCGGCCCTGGGCGGCAGACAACGGCCCAGTCGGTCACGCTCGTGGCCAAAAGGCAGAACGAGTCTTCGTTAAAGGCTTTATACGACGACCCTCTTCCTGTTGTTTACGCTCCCCATGGCCTCACTCATTACGGTCAGTCCGATCCAAATGACGGGCGTCGGTACGGTGTGCAGCTCCGTCACCAACTCTCTCTGCCATGGCCAGGGATTACATTGCGTCGAGCGATTTAGAAACGCCTTTTGGAGCAACCAAGTCTTTTTTGAAGCAATGAGAAAAACTTTTTGTTCCCAGTTATTCTACTGGCAATGCTTCATTAGGATTTCTGAGTTAGATAACGCCTTCCCGATTCTGTGCAACCACTTCTTTAGCTTCCACTGCAAAACATATTACATTTTTACCAACCACTTCGAAATATAAACATACTGATAGCACCTTAAAGATTTATGATGACGCAAAGCCAGCATATAGAGAATTATTATGCCTTACAAAATACGATTGAATGTAACGTTATTCGTGTGCTTTCATTTTAATACAGAATTAATTCAGTTTTAATTTAAACTTTATCCATAGAGTCTACAAAGAGTCTAGGGTCTTGGCAAAGGTGCTAACAAACCATAAAAAATTGAACCTACAGCGTAGCCCAGTTACACCGAACCGAGGTGAACTCGGGTATCAGGGAACCCTTTCAAGATACCCAAGTTCCAAGCAAACTTCAAATTTTGAATAAAAGAAAATTTAAGCAAATTACCACTAATGATGCATGCATTCTGTCAGGATGTCAGAGTTTATTGCAGAGCATACACTAACCCTAGTCTTTCGCAAATATTAGTGCGAGCTAAACATTGTCACATCAGCATTCACCAAAATCTACTCTTTCCTTTAAATTCCTCGTTGCACTATTCCACCCTGGAGGCCAAGGAGCTCGAGGCCTTTGACGGTAAAAAGGCCACATAATGAATCAGCAAAAAAGAAGCACAAAGATAAAAACCACACCAGAGTGTCTATAAAATTCCCAGACTTTTCCACGTTTTCCCCGAATATTTCATTCAAATTCTCCAATTATTACTAAAGAAAATTAAGAGGATGGGGGTTGCAGAAGCTGTTGAGGCTGTTCCCGCTTAAAGGGACACTGACAGGGCATTCATGCTTGCCAAGGTTTTTGTTTGTACATGACATACGAGAGCCAAATTACCCGGAACGCTATTTGCAGCTCGACATTTGTTGTCTTTCAGTCCAAAAACCGCCGATTGAAAACTGGCCAGTTTGAGATGCACTCACTCTCTTCTCCGTGGTCACAAGCCATTTACTATGGTTTAGAAACAACCACCAAAGATAATCGAAGTTGTGCGTCCAGACAAAAAATACGATACCCCTTTTTTTTTTTTTTTTGTAGCTTCTAAAAAAACAGCAAATACGCAGATTGAAAAAAGAAAAAAAAAAGTAGCACAGTCACAATTTTTGGTATCTTTCTCCTCCTCTATATTTCTTCTCCCTCCCCAGTTCAGTTTCGCTTTCCAGCAGTTGCATATTTTGACTTTAATACAAATATATGGGACACTGTAGCAGAATACTGATTGGGTAGTCTTTCGACAACATAAATCGCCTGGCAAAAAAATAATAAAAAAAAAACAACAACCGCATCTCCACGTGGTGAATGATGTTGATTGGGGCGAAGCTCTGGTGGTGCTTGTCTGCATAGACGGTGAGCCGCAGCATGCTGAGCCTTTCGTTCGTTTTCCTCCATGTCAGAAAGAGAATGGGTGGTATGGAATGTGGTTATATATGCATTTGAGCAGTTGACCGCAGCACCCTCTCGTCTATAAACGTTGAGCCAACGCATGCAAAGTTTAACGCGATTATATATGCATTTGACCGCAGCGCCCTCTCCTGTATAGACGTTGAGCGGCTAGATGCAACGTTTCATCCATGACAGAAACCCTAGCTCTTGAGTTCCTACCACATCTCAGAGCCCCCTACTCGTCCAGCAGTCGTGGCGAGTGGTTAAGGCGACGGACTAGAAATCCATTGGGGTCTTCTGCACAGGTTTGAATCCTGTCGACTGCACAAACATTTTTTCTTCTTTTTGCCCTACACGAGCAAGTGAGCATGTGAGCTCACGAGCACCAGCAAGATCGATGTGAGCACGGACACCGGACGGACAAGGCTAGACCCCAAGGACCTTCGCTTCTAAAAACATTTTTGGGGGTGTTAGTGTCCCTTTAATGCAGTGAATTGGGCGCTGGCTTACGCCGCCTAGAGCGATGCCTCGGGCCACTGCTATTCAGCGTGAAGGCCATCGCATGCCACATCCCCCCTTCACTGCATGTCCATTTCAGTCATTTTCCTCGACAATTCCCAGACTCTTTCCCAACCATCCCAGGCTTTTCAGCTGGTAGCCCCACACTGCTGCCAACCGGGGACCTCACCTTCGGCGCTTTGTGGCGTCCTCGGAGGCTCCTCTTTTGCGGCAGGCTGCTCACTGGCCGGTTCGGCGGCTCCGGAGGAGGGCTGGTGAAAGTCAGCGGTACTGCTCACGGCTGCTTCTGGTTGCCTGGAGAAACCCGCGAGGGATCCGTTCAAATCGGCCCATTGCACCTGCCCCGCTGCTCCCACTCCACTCCCAATCTTCCACCGACTGGGCACTCGGCGGCATAGCGCGTCGAAAGCTCCAACGTTGCGAGTTTGATTTGTGCTCCTGCCGGTTTCGATATAAACGCGCAGCTATGCATGTGAGCGAGCAATCGCACTAATGGATCTTCCGGGTGGCTCTTCTCCAAATTCCCAGCTTTTTTTTTACGTTACGACATACTATTTCTGGCACCGCCTCTCCCACTGTAGCAGGAGTTTATGTGCGTGGCTGCATTTTAAAATTCGAAAACATACCCCCGTCCAGCGTTGCCGCACTATCTGTGTTGTCCCGCGATTCCAATACGACTTGTTGGAGTAACTCGCAATCACCTACTCCAGGGTTGCTGCTTTATTTTTGTTGTCGCGTGATAAGCGGGTTTTCGTGACTCTCAATCACTCGGGTGAGCTTAAGAAATGAGATTTAGGATCAGCGCAGTGATGTGATTGGCCTAAGCCCTTTCGGAGCACCTTTCGGAGCAGCCAAGACAGTGTTTTGGAGCAGCAAAAGTGGCTTTTGGAGCAGCCAAGACAATGTTTCGGAGCAGAAAAAGTGGCTTTCAAAGCAAAAATTCTTAGAAAAAAATTTTTTTTTTTTGTTTTAAGCGCTGGACAAACGAAGGGCACATTGTGCTGTGTTGTGATTGAACTCGCTTTTTGAGTTTTTACCGCTGAGACATCCCACAAGTGTACTCTTGCCAAGCGATTCCGAAAAGAACGCTCACCATTTTACTGGTTCATGGCATGCCAGATTTTCGTCAAAAGTAAGCAAACGTAAAACAATGAATTGCAAGAGTCCCGGCTGGCGCCTCTGCCGTGCAGTCATGTTCACATGCATGTGAGGGCAACATCAGCAGGCTTGCAGTGGTACGTGCTAAGTTGCGCAAGCGGAGAAAACGGCTGTTCAATCGAAATCGGAACAATGCCACTCCGCTCCGTCGCCAACCGATTCCCAAAATAGAATGCAAAATGTAACCGTCCAGCATACGACAAAACAACACTCCAGTGGCGCGTGCTTGCCAGACCGGCAGGTGAAGTACAAACTAAACACACAAAAAATAAAGAACCTGAGCACATTGATGCAGGACATCGTGAGCCAGGGTCAAACATATCTTAGAGCGCTTTGTGCAACGACTGAACTCGAGACAAACAAGCGCGATGTGCGGGTTCAGCGTGCAGACATTGCCTTCTCTGCTTTAGCTCACTTCTCTTCACCAACTTTCTTTTGTAGCAAATGTTTCACGTACCGGGGTCCCTCTCGAAAGAAAGCCCACCGAGAAAAACCTAGGAAATCATTATTTCAACAAGCAGTCTTTGAACTAAAGGGACACTTCAACGAAATTTGAATAACACCCGTCATGTTCAGAAATAGGTTGAATATGATCCACAATATCCGTAAATGATAATTGCACGTTTGTATTTTGAGCCTGATGGCTATATTTTTGTTATAAACGGCCCACTCTGGCAAGCGCTCGGAGAGCAGCCAGCGGAGAGCACGTCACATCCACCGCAATTGTGACATAGTTTGTCTCGGAACGAGCAAAGCTTCGGCGAGGCTGACGTCGAGAAGATGTCCTAACGGTTCCAGCCACCGAAGCGGCTGCTTTTCTACGAATTTTGAGTGACGGGTTAATCTTCTGTAATCTTGTAGGGGGACAATAGCGACTTCTGGGAGACACAAAGGATATTCTCGGGGGAGGGGAGCTCCTCCTTCACCTTTTCTCTCGTGGTGGACGGAAGCGAGACAGTTATCGTCACTACCTGTCAAGGTTCCTAGACGGGCATTACAAGCGAGGCGTTAGCGACGTCCACCAGGTGCATTTTGCTAATCGTTTAATTTGTTTTAAAATTCCTTTTTGTGCCTTTTTCAGCAAGAGATTGGTGTGTCTTATGTGATAGTGCTCGCTTGAACACGAATATACCAAAAGATAAACGCCAAAATTCCGTTGTAGTATCCCTTTAAAGAGGGATTTTTGTAGTAGAGTATGGTTTAAACAAGGACAGGAATGTCGATGAACAAGTGTAGAAAGCAGCATATCTGCAGCGACATAGGGACGGCAACACCCGACGTCGCGCGACCAGCGTTTCAGCTTACAAAGCAACTCTCGTCGCGCAAAAACGTGGTTTTGCTTCACACCATGACGGCATGTCTGGCACACGGCACGCTAGCGTCGGAGCTTCCGCAGACGCCCGCGTCTATCGTTGAAAAAGTAAAAAAAAAAAGGCGCGAGACGAGACTCCCAAGACGACGAGGCACGAAACGCGAGACAGCGGCAAAAACCATGCAAGGGAGGGGGGGGGCGGGGGCCGGATGGATGCAGGGTACTTTGTGTCGGGCGGTCGCTTGAGCCACCTACCTCACCAGGGTGTCTACCAAGTTGACATTTTCAAATTCCCCGAGTTTTCCAGGTTTTTCCCGAGTACTTTTGTGAAATTCCCTGAGTGACACACAACTTTGTCTTAGGTCAAGATAGGCTGACATTATGTCGCCAGATGCTGTCAGTCTCTAAAAAGCATGTTATAAAATAAAAAAAAAAAAAAACATAATAGAGTTTTAATGGTAACGAGTAACTTTTATTAGATGCAAAAAGAAAACAGAACGGAGTGGTTAGTAAAATTCAGAGTGAATAAAATATAAAAAAAGGTAAACTGAGGTTTATGTGACACCCCCCCCCCCCCCCCCCCCCGTGACGTCACGTGACCCCAGGGGGGTGGGTCACGTGACCTCACGGTTACGCCGACACCGCTCAAGCCAGAAACGGGCACCTAAGAGCTGCGCTCTAAAAGAAAAACGGGAGCAATAATTGGGAAAGAAAAAGGTAAACAAAGATAAGGCGTTCAAAGTGCGATTGCTCAACACTTGTTGTCAACATACTCCACTTAAAGGCCGACGAGCAGACGCGACATTCTGCAAGGAAGAATATCCTCCTCACCCTGGGGGAGAAGGAAACAGGCAGCAGTGTACATGGTAGAAGGGGGAGAGGAGGAAGCGCGGGAAAAGTGGAAAGCGCGAACTGGTCGTCGGTCTTTAACAAAATCTTTTTTTTTGCTCTTTATTTTGGGGTTAAAGAGTCGCGAATGCGACAGCGGTGTTCGGGGAAAAGAGCGCAGGCGACCGCTCAAACAGCGGGCACTCCCTGCCCTCCCTACGTGCGCGGGTGCCCTTCCCTTGCTTTTGCCATCCTCCACTTTTTTTTTTGTTTTTATTGGTTGCTTTTTTTATATTTTATACAATAGCTTTTTCGCTGCGTATCCCCGCGTGCACGTAAGCTGGCTTGGCGGTTTGCCAGCCCCACAACCCGGCGCAATCCGACTTCGGGAGAAGCGAAGGACGGCCGTGCTTCGTCTTGTTCGCTACATCGAGTGTCCCCGCCATAGGAGTTATGGGCATTCGATACAGAAAAACAATGTGATTTTCTAGGGGATGTTTGGACTGTTTCATATACACCTTTCTAAAAAACGCTCCTAGGCCGCCGCCCTGTTGCTGATGCGGCTGGTGCGACTCTCGCGCCCTCTATCAGCTAGAAATGTTCTGCCACTCTCTGGGACTGTGAAGACTCGCTCAGCACGGTTCTCTACCTACGTTTTTGCGGTTTTGCATTCGACGTTTTCTCGCCGTTCTTGAAAGTTTCCACTTAATTTTTTTTTATGCGTGCTGCGTACCCTTTTTGTGTTATCTTCCACTATGAGAAATAAGGCTGGTAAGTGCCTGCCTTTCAAGCTTTTCTGCTCGAAATTCACAGGAAACGAAGGAGGTGAAGGACGTCGAACGACCCTCGACGCGATTTTGCGAACATTGTTCTCCCCTTTCCCAGAGATAATCCGCGTAGAATCCTCAGTCATCTCCAAAAATAGTTGTCCGGGTTGGGGTGTGAAACGGGTCAGTCGCGTTTGTTTCTTTGCCTTGGTGCGGTTGTGAGAAAAGGAAGCTCTCCCCAAAGCGTGCCCCAAAACGAAGTCATCTCGGATTCCGTCCGATCGTCGTGTCGTCGACTGTGACTGTGTTATTTGAGATCTTTCTCAGATAAATTCTTTTCGGATAACGCTGCATCGTGTGGTATGTACGATATATTGTTCGGATGTTAACACTTCCTCAATTGTATATCCGTGTCCTGTCCACCGGTAAACACGTTATTTGTGAGCGTGAAAAATGCATGATTTTCGGCCCTCTTCTGTTGCAATTTATTTTTGACAGCAAAGCGCTTTGTCGTTTCACATGCGGCGAATCCCTCGTTGCCGTCAAAGCTTATCGTAAGAAAAAAACAAATAACTAGAACTACACATTCCAGTCGCATTCGTTCTGTCGCTGCGCGTACCCAACAAAAACAGTTTAGTTTTTTTTTTTTTTTTTTTTTTAATATAGTACAATGCTTTCTTTATGTCCTCGGGAAAATACATGTACCATGAAACACACGATATAGCAGGAAAAGACGAGAATTTAGCTGCCAGCAGCGTTTGAAACTGCGCTTACGCAGGCTGCGCCTATTGAAATCACAGTCCACTCGGTTAGGGTTAGGAGGGACGCCGGTGAGAGTCTAGCCTCAAACTCAGTGACTGGGCTCGAAAACGGTTTGTTGCCCCTGGGGTCGAGTGTTTTTTGGAAAGGTGTATATAAAGAATAATTCGAAGTACAGGGGTGTGATATAACTGGGCTTGACTGTACGTTTGGCCCATTCCATTGATATCTGAAAAATTTTGGACTGTGACAATCCATCTGTAACACTTTAAAAAAAAAAAAAAAATCCCCGATAGAAGCCCAAGTTCCCCGAGTTTTCCCTGAGATTTTTCAGACTATTCAAAATCCCTGAGAATTCCCGGTTTTACCGGTTAGTAGACACCCTGCTCACGCATGCTAATTACGTTCTTAGTTCAGTTTCGGTTTTGAAAGACGACTGAAATTAATCCTTTGGCGCAGGCTAGGCGCAGATTAGCCATATTTTGGCAAAATGCAGCAGGATGTAGCAGGGTTAGCCCCTTGGTGCAGTTTGGCGCAATTGGCGCAGCAATCACATCACTGTCAGCGTTGATCGTGCAATCGTAAACGAGCGAGCATCCGCAGAACTGTCTGTCTGCACGCGTCCATCCGTTGGAACTCCATGCACCCCCAGGAGAGTCAAGTAGCAGACATGATGACGGCAATGTAACTAATGACGAGCGACCGCCGACAACTGCTGAAACACTGCATGCCCTCGATGTGCTGCAGCACATAGCGAGCTTGACGTTAGCGACGACACGCTCACACGTCTTTACGCGTTCCAAAAGCGTTTCCTGGGCGACATTAAAAAAAGAAGACTCAGAAAAGGATCACTGCCTTCTTTAGCCAGGAATGTGACCCATAAACTGCAAGTAGCCCCCCTTTACTTTGATGTGCTTATTTGACTCGTTTTTTTGTTCATCCAAATTTCCGAAGATACAAATATTTTCCGCAATGCCCCCGGGATTCGTATCATTGACATTCTACGGTACTTTTTTTTGCGTTGTTGCCGACATTGCGCTTGGTGCACACACGCAGATGTCTGCCAAATCTTTGCTGGATTTTCCTCCAAAATTTTGGCAAACGCTGAATTTTGACGAATATAAACTTTGGCTGATTGGCTCATCACTAACTACCCTTTAGCCACATAGCGATATGTGTGGACCTTGTCAGATTCGTGTTATCGAGATTCTACTGTATATAGTCGCTAATGGTGAATTCCACTCACAGATTTGGAGCGTTCCAAAAGCGCTCCATTTGGAGTGCACATATTCCGCTCGCAGATCTGGCTCGAGCTGGTCATCTTCCCCTTGTAGATCTCTGGCGACGCCCGCTCCACGGAGCGCCTCAAACCCCGCCAAACTTGCTCTGCGGGATTTCACAGATCTTTCCGGAAGTTGACAGAGCGCCTACGTCATTTCCTTCTAAATCCACAGTGCGCATGCGCGGCGAGGTTGGCGGGCCGGTCAGGCCACGGTCGGGTCGTCGAGTGAGATCTGTTCGGATGCGTCGGTTGTTTATGCGGGATTGTGACGGCTCGAACGCTTCTACCTCGCGTAGATCAGAGATACAAAGCTGGGACTGTGGAGCGTGGTAAATCGTAAGCTCTGAGCGACATCTGTGATCGTGAGAGGAGGAACGAAAAAAAGAACAACAGAAAAGCCGGAGGCAGATGCAAGGCTAGGCCTGTGCATTCTGCAGCCAACGATTGCTTACCTTTTTACACCACATTCTGCCTGCGTTTTCCCGTACAATAAAGCAAGAACAGATTAGGCAACGACCGTGCAAGTGATGGTTTGTTACCTTTGTGTTTATTAAAGTCATACCAGAAATTTGAACTACACTGCTGGCAGTCGCTGTCCGCGCCCCGCCGCTTCAACGCGGCCGAAAGGTACGCGACGGTGCCGAACGCGGACGTCTTCGTTATTTGCGACATGGGCGCTGTGGTACGTATAATTTTGCCTGGCCTGTGTCGCGTGTTATTCCTGCGTCGGAAAGATCAGTCAGTTGGTGGGCTTGTCAAGTTTGAGCAGCGGCCATTTTGAACGGCGGAGGGGGAAGCGGTGGGGAGGGGTGTGAGGGAGGTCACTCCAAAAATGCAAGTTTATCTTCCTTTCGTCGATTCGGAGCGGGTCCCACGGAGCGGAATTTCGCCTCCCTCGCGGATTTTGGAAAGTGCTCCAAATCTATGAGTCGAATTCACCATATGTGTCAGCATCCGACTGAAATCAAATGGCAACGAAGAAGGTCGACTGTTTTCTTTCTGGGTGCATCGTTCATTGTAGTTGTGATACATCTTTCAATGCAAACAATAAATTTGCCACGGAGCAAGAAATACAAATATTTTAATTTATTTAATGTCGCCCCACCTCCTAACATTTGAATGCTGGCTCGTTTAAACAAGTGCGACACAGACGGGCAGTTACTAATAGCCTCTTCCCCTGGCAACTGGCGAGCGCTCAATGCACGCTCGCCGAGCGGATTCTTGTTTCCCTCGCGAGATGAGAGCAATCTCTCCATGTGCCGCTTGTAGATCTGGAGCCAGTGGAGCGCTCGCCGAACGGCTCCAACCGCTCCGTGGAAAAGTGGCGGAGCGCGTCAAGCGGTCCGGAGTAGTTCTTTGCGCAGCCTTTTTCGGAGGAGTACCCCCTTCATGACCGACTCGCCCGAGCATACTGCGACAATAACGTCGTTGCAGTTAATTTCAGGAGGTCTAATAAAACGCAGTGAGAGCGACGAAGATACCAGCCTAGCTCCAGCTCGAGTGACGATGAGGCAGCCGTTCTCGGCGAAGTGTTTGCCGAGTCGTTTGGCTGGCCAGAGCAAAAGGCTCAAGATACCGCGTTACATCGAAGGCGTTGTGCGCGCCGATTCGGATGATGAGCTAGGTATATATCGTCTGTTCGTTTTGTGGTCTCTGTAATGTAATTGGAATAATTAGAAGACAACACGCCAGATACTCCACAGATGGAAGTCGCCTTTGGAGATGACGATCGCTAGACAACTAGAAGTACAAGTACTTCTAGTTGTCTTCATCGAGCTCATATAACTGTAAGGAAAAATAAATTATGTCTTAACGTCGAGGTCACCGGTAATCAAGTAGTAAACAATTAATTTTTTTGTCGAAGCATGAAGTTCCGATCAGAACTTCATGCCTTCAGCAAGATAGCAATGGGAACCGCAACTGTTCAAAAGCGAGAGCAGACGCTCTGGAAGCGGTGGCGCTGGGAGCGTTACGCTCGATTTGCTCCGCAGCGCGTGCCACTGGGATGAACCACGTGACCGATCGCTCACGGAGGCCGACCGCTAGCGCGGAGCGCTCGGCATTTGCCAGGGGAAGGGGCTATAAATGCTTTGAGGACAAATCTTACGTTCTTTCCCTCTGCCATGCAGAAATACCAAATGGTGCTTGCGTACTCCCGCATAGGCCGAATCCCTTTGGAGAGGGAAGGGACCGACCTGCGGTGGAGGGAGAAGAGGCTGGCCAGGACCTGGATGAGCTCGTCCCGGCTGCTGAAGCCCCGCTGCTGGCGCTGCACGTGCGCCAGCAGGGCCACCCGCAGTGTTTCCCGGTCCACCCCCTGGTCCACGTAGAACTGCACGTCTCCAGAGCGAAGCAAGGCCGCCACCTCTGTCTCCATGCCCGGCTGGGCCCCGTGCTCCGCCAGGGCCGCACTGCCACTACGTGCCACCTGCCCGGTACCAGGTCCTCTTTAGGTGGGGACACGCAGCACGGCAAACGTCGCGATCGACCAGGTAAAGTTCCATCGGAGCATGCCCGAGTGGCATCAGCCGAGAGCGCCTCTACCAACAAGGCCGCGCAACAAAGGTAAAAAAAAAAAAAAAAAAAAAAAAAAAAAAAACGTTTACAACTTCCTGTAACGCCGAATTAGAAAGCAGCTCTAGTTCATGAAGTGCGCGAGTCTGGAGGAAGCCATCCCTCCGGCTCAATGCAGGAGATTGGGTGGGAAAGGAAGTGGCGGTGTGGGAGGGAATTTATTAGCTATTGGACCACGTGAAGAAGAGAATGGAAAAAAACAAAAAAAAAAACCATTTTTATCCCTTTTGTGTTTGTACAACGCACACCAAAAAGCACGCTGCAGAAATGCAGCGCGCTTCGCGGGGATGCAGGCACTGGCCGATTCAAGCCAAGTCAAGCCAGACCAAGTCAACATGAGCCAAGCCAAGATCACCCCGTGTTCACGCAATCGTGCAACACGAGGTTTGTTTATGCGGAGGGACTAGAACAAGAACGAGTGTGATCGTGTATCGGGTCCAGCAATCTTTTTTTCTGCCTGCGCATTTTTTCGTTTCTGCTCCAGAGTGGTCTGGCGTTTGTGTTTCTGCCCTGCTTTGCTTGTGGGCTGCCGAGGAGCTCATGCCCGAGAAAAAGGAACTGCAATACAAGCAGCGCCTTGCTGCTGCATATCTGCAAAGTCGCCAAGTGCAAACGGAAGGACCCAAGCAGTGAGAACGACTGCAGAGGAAACATAAACTCATATTTCTTCTATTTCCATTGCCTTTTCACTTCTGCTATGCCCCCGAGTGCGGTAAATTTACGCCGGCCTCTGGTCACACTATAATAGTTGTAACATTTTTTTTTTATTTTTAAGGGCATCAAAACCTGCCCTCGCATTATATTCATGGTCGCGTTATATTTGTGCAAATACGGTAAACACCTCTCCCTAATGGGCGGTGGCTAGAGCGGGGCTGCCTCCACCTGAATTGCGTCTCGCGGTGCCACCCGGGTGCCACCCGACACACACCAGGTGGCACCGCGAGAATCCACTGGTAAGGACATTCGGGGGAAAGGCCTCGTCTTCTAGGTGGCGTCGGGACGATCCTCCCCGAAGGGGAGGGGGACCCCACCTGGCTCATGTGTTCGAGGTGCTTCTGCACGCTGTCCCTCACAAAGGCGTCCCCCTTGGACAGCAGGACGAACTGGCACTTGGGGAACCAGCGGGCATGCTCCTCCCAGGGGTCGTCCCCCCGCTCCCAGTTGCACAGGCCCCCGTCGCAGTGGAAGCACTTGGTGTAGTCCAGGATGCCTGCGTGGGGGAGGGCGCACGGGCACGCCCAGTCATGCCTGGTCACGTCGGCGGGCACGAAGAACCCGGGGCACCGGGCACTGTGCCGACCAGTGCATTTACCGCGCCCTCAAAAGCGGTCCCTCGATTTTCGCTCGGCGAGTTCGTAAAAGAGTCGCGTTGTCGCCGGTCACGAATCCCGGCAGTGGCAAAACGGCGGAGGTGAATGCCACTGCAAGTCACACAGTTCAAAAAGCTTTGGCAGTGGCGAGTTGGAAAGCCGCAACAACACTGACATGAGTGTCTGGCCTACTTTTTGCCGGTACTTGTGGCACCGACCGCCACATTCGCGGCATCCAATGGCACGACGCGCCGGCTCCTGCGACGTCATTTGATGCCACATCGGAACCACGTTCGACACGTCGGCAGAATTGGATGCAAAGTGCACCGGCCGAAGATGCATCATGGGCACCGCAGTGTAGCCACAGTCCTTGGATAAACTTACTGGTCTTCAAACTATGGCCTTTTTTTGCCTTGGATCATTATGGCACGACACAAGCAGCACTAAATCATGTAAAAGTTTAAATTTTAAAAAGTAACAAAAAAAAAAAAGAAAAACAAATTACGAGTTATTCCACTCTGCGGAGGTGGATGACCAGTGAAGCTGTTTAGCGCACGATACAAAATTTTAAACAAAGGTACAAACATTTATTGTCTCAATCGGTGGTCACGACGAAAGGTTACGCACACGCTAAATTACTCAAGCATCAAGGAGATTGCAGGGAATGGTGTTCCACGCACAGCATATGCCAGTGTCTGCAGCAGTTACTGTCTTAAAGCAAAAGCCTAAAACAACTGGCATCTTGCACGGGCGTTCATCAACGCCTTATTTTAGTTAGTATTTACCTCAAATCTTCTATACAGGGAAGGCATGCGCATGCAGCGCCGGCATCTGCAGCAGTTCCAAAGCAAAAGCCTCAAACAAATGGCATCTTGCACGTGCATTCCTCAAAGCTTTATTTTGGTTATTTACTTTGAATCTTTTATACAGAGAAGGCGTGTGCATGCGGAAATGCCAGCGTAGAGGTTTTGGTCACGCACACAAAAAATCCACGAAACCCTAGCCATAAACAGCTTCGCCATAAAATTTAAAATTTTTTGAGAACATGGTGTTGCAATTATTTTGAAATACTACGACCCATTGATCTCCAGTATAGATGGCTTTTCCGATTGTCCATCCTTCGGATGGGTATGCGGGATTTTATAAAGAGCCGCGTCCAGCAACTTTCTCCGAACCCACGTCCGTCCATTGGGTTCTCCGAGCGATTCGATTGGTCGGCTCGTAACCCCGGCGGTGCACCTCTGCTGCTACCTCTGGTGCAAGGTAGGGCCATATCCACAAATGCCCCTCACCAATGTAGAAGAAGCCCGCCTTGACCAGGTCGGGGGGCCGGAGGGGTGACGCCAGGGGCCACTTGGCGAAGGAGCGCAGCCGCGCGTCCGGGGAGGCCTGGGCGGGGTGCTTGGGCCCCACGTGGGGCGTGATGCCCAGCAGGGACAGCGGGGAATCTGCACTGTGGCCCCCCTCAACCGGGGGCGCGGGCCCCCGTTCGGAGTGCGAGCGCTGCTCCCTCCAGGAGCGGCCGCACTCGTCCTGGCCCTCCTCCAGCGAGGGGTCCAGCAGGAACGGGCAGCAGGGGAAATGGCGCCCGTGCTCCACCAGCGGGTCGTCCCCACGCTCCCAGTTGTGGATCGTGCCCCGGCAGAAGGCACAACGCACCTGTGGGCGTAGAGTTGAAGGTCCCGTGCATTTTGGACGCTTTCAAACGACGCTGATCTTAGTGGCTGGTCCCATAGGGCTCATATCGCTGGCAAAGCTTTAACGTACACAAAGATGCACTAAAATATTACCCGTAAGGTACGTGCGTGGTTTTTTTCTAATTTACTTTGCGGGGAAAACACCGTTGACTTTCCTTTTATAAAATCAAGAAATATTCGCGACTCCAGCAAAACGGACGCCGCCAAGCGGGAAAACCGGGAACCAGTCGGTCCAGGTCGCTCCGCGCCCCGCCACGTCTCTGATGGCTTTCGCGGACACGTGCTGTCGGCGCGGGGGCGAACAATGTAATTTGACGAAGGTCCGAAAATTTCTTAAGTTTGCCTAAGTGTTCATTAGTGCGGTGAAGCCTCAGTAGATTGTTTCTTTGCATCACGTGTTTGAAAGCCCGTTTACTCCACAACACACGGTCACGTGCTTTCAATTTTTTGGATGAGGAGGAATTACGGAAAAACGTTTTGATTTCTCGTCTGTCTCGAATCACATTCAAAGTAACGACTACTTGGTGACTGATAAGTGGTTTCTTTACAAGGATGTAGAACAGTGGACTGAGGACGATAGACGAGGTGTTTCACTAGAGGGAACACCATTGTTGCAGTCAAGTGAATGGGAAGGTTCGATAGCTGCTTTCCTTGAGTTTGGTTGTGCTCGATTAGCTTCAAGTTAATTTGAGCCACTAACGCCGGCCGGTGCGTTGGCTATTCATCTTGGCGGCTTTTCGCCGAAAAAGACCACATTGAGGGAGTTGGGCTAATTTCGCAATTACTTGATTCAGAAAACCTTCTCGCTGCATATGATTAATGAGGGAAATTATCTGCTTTCAAAAGGTGGGGGACGCGTCTGGCAAAGTTAGAAGCTGTCACGTCATTAGGATCTGTCGCGCCTCCAATATTTATATTATAACTAGGGTGTGAATTTTCCGGTTTTAACCGAAAAACACCGATAAACATCCGTCGGTGACGAAAATATAAAATCGGTTAAAACCGAAAAACACCGGCGTTTGGATATTTTCGCCCTGGTTAAAACCGAAAAACACCGGTCGTTGCTAGTTTCCGACCTAGCGAAACCCTTTCCCCGTAGAGGTTCGTCAAACGTGTTATCTCGTGGATCCTGCATTTTTCCAGTGTTTATACAGGGCTTGCAGGTGGCGTCAGTCCGCCCTCCTTTCTGGGGGTCAAAAGCGTCTAGTGAACGCAGTGGAAACTAAGCTCTCATACGCCTTTCCCCTATTGTGTCTCCCATGGAGCCCTTTTGTGGAAAAATTAACGCAGTGGAGGGTAGGCTCTCACGTGCCTTTTCCTCATTGTGTCTGGCCAAGTGATGTCGGTGCAAGCCATGTATTCAGAGGTTGCTGTGGTTTCTGAAAGACACTGCAAACGTCCGTGTCGTACAGGAGCGTGCGTTTTCATAATTGCGGGTTGCGAACCGCCAGCAACGTGCTGCCATGACAGCAGCATGTTCCTTGCGTGTAGATGCAAGCATGAAAGTATGCTTGCATCTACTATAATAACCAAGTGTTAGAAATAGTTGCTTTCTAGAGAAGAAGTGTATGAACTATGTGAATAAAATTGGAACTCTGTCTGTGATCAATCGCTTTTTTTTCGCCGATATTCACCGATTTTAGCCTCGTCGTGAGACGTTCCACCGAAATACACCCGTGTTTTGAAAATAAATAAGCACCGAAAAACATCCGCCGATTTTTCTCACAAATAAACACCGGAAAGTACACACCCTAATTATAACCCCTGTCGAAGCCAGCAGCAATATACGTCTACATTGCTCAGGTTGACCGGCTTCGAAAAATACTAATTTTATCCGTTCAGGTTTCGAAGTCAAGTTCAATGCAGAGAGGTCTGAGTAAATCTCCGATAAAGACTCTCCTCAGTTTGTCCGCATTCGTCTCAGTTCTACCGGCTAGAACCATTTGGCTAAGTTTAAGTAGTATCTCTCTGTCTGTCAAATATACTTTTATTCAGCAGTTCACCTAATAGTTAGTCAACTAAGTTCATATTTCAACCCGAAGAATATACTAATATCGCTTTAGTGGGACGTAACATAATACATAATCCACATATTCGTCAAAATGACTTCTCGATTGCTACTATACTAAAACCTGAATTGAAATACGAGTATCAGCTGTTTAGTGAAGCGCCAGCGAGTTGACATGCTCCTTGGCTCAAGATGCGCTTGCTTAATTTTCGTAATTTTCCTGCAGCCTGCGTTCTTGACCGAGCACACGACTGGAGCTGTTTCTTGAAACGCGGACAGGCACAAAAGCTCAATTTCGCGGACAGATAAGTCGCATGGTCGAGGCATGCGAGTTAGCTAAAAATTACTCTCGGTGGAACAATTTTGTAGCCCTCGCCACTTTCCTTAGATGATCAAAACTAATTAGAGTCTATTACCGCTTCTCCGGAGCCCATACTTTCGGTTTTGATCGAAGTCTTCGAAACGAAAGTTTGACATGAAAAGAACAAAAAACATGGGCAAAACAAAACTATGCTCGGCAAGTTTATGCGCACCGGCTACACTTAACTGTCTCAGTTCAAATACCCATAAAATTGGACATTCAACAAAAGAAAATTTGTTAAATTGAATGCGCCACCCATTCAGGCGGCCCGGCCGAGTTGACGCGACCTGGACTCAGCCGCCATGTTTGTTTGGTGGTAGCGCCCCCTATAGGTCGCTGGAGTCGCGAATACTTGTGCAACTTCGAGTCGTCGCGGTAAAGTAAATGCGCACAACCTATCGTCTGCTCTCTTTCTCCACTTTTCTGTCGCTCTGTTTCTCGTTCCATCTGTCGGAACCACCGATCGCAGCTCGTATGATTTGTCACATTCTGCTCCCGATTTTTCCCTCCTGCCCGCAGCGGCCGTGCAGAAGCATTCTGCTCGGGGAGGGCTCCGACTCTTGCTAGAGAAGATTGGCGTTAATCTCGCGGGTCAAACCACAGAACAAAGAGGATGAAACATCCTGGATAAGAGTGAGTAGTGCCACTAAAGAAGCTACGCTTCAGAGAAACGACACTTGGCCATATTGTGTCTTAAAATCATGGTTGCCAGTTATCTGAAGCTTTATCTGAAATCACAGGAATGGTTTTTCCGCCCTGCACAGATGTTTAAACAGTTCGCAACAGATAAAAGCTATATTACATCAGCTTCCTAACACCGAATCTAATGCTGAGGAAGTCACACTTTTGAATTATGACGATCGGCAGTTGCATCTGCTCTGCACAAGCCCCAAATGGCGACGCCCCCAACAATGTCGGGGAACAGTGTGCCGATACACCAAGTGCAGCTCATTCAGTGGCTCTAGGAGTGAGCTTTCGAATGGACAGCGACATACTTTTATTCTGGAGTGAGATAAAGGTCCAAGGTTAACTCAATCTCATCTCAAAGAAAAGGATTTGTACCTTGCCATTTAAAACCCCACTTGCATCCAGCGTCACCCTATGCGTCTTTTCGCACAATAGACCGACACGCTGTTTACAAACAAGCCCGCATTTGCCCACACCAGGTGTGGGCACTGAGCAAGCGCAGAAACCAGATTCGCATGAGGTGAAGCTTCTGCGCATGCGCCGTGGCGACAACAGCGCCACCGCAGGAGCGTGACGTCAGAGCCGCGTGTTGGTCTATAAGGTACACGAGAGTAACTCAGACCTCACCGAACAAGATTTAAGATGCTGCCTAAAGGCCCATTCACGAAGGAGCACTTGCTTACATTTTTCTGCATTACGATACGACCGATAGCCACCGGGACATCCGCACTTCATAGGAACAGTGGAAATTGCTTCGAAAAGCTTTGCAAGCGACGTACGAAGCACGTATGCCCCGATGACTCGCGAGTCTACGGTAACGCGACGGAAGAAAACGTAAGCCGATTCTCTCCCAAGAACGGGCCTCTATAGGGCGACGTACAACCGCGATTTCCTTCTTGTCCCGACGTCAACCAGATTAGAAAGCCCCGGTGCTCGCGCATAAAGAGGAACTATTTCGTTTGGTGCCCATCTCCACTTCCGTCGTTGTGCCACCGCCAGGATCGCGGCAATCGACAGAACGACGCGGGTGCAATGTTGTTGGGCATTAGTTGAGGGGCCAGAAACGATGATGCTGTAAGCACGTGTTGGTCAAAGGCACGTTCCAGGCACTGCCAGGGACATGTCTCTGACGGGCGTGCGTACCGCGTCCTCAAAACTTTCAACTTCTGCCCTCGTAAAAGGGTCGGGCCACAATGTGCCGCAATCTTGGCAAGTGGGCGTGGTAGACGCCCACGTAGGTTGCCTTGCAGCAGACGTTCAAAAATGTCCCGAAGTAAACGAGAGACGGGATTGCGGCGACCCTCGCGTATGCTCGCCTTTTTCGTCGGCATATTTCTACGACCAATCGCAGGAATCGCAACGTCAGACTGCAACCAACTCCGGACGCGGCCACCCACCCTGTCGTCCTGTTGGAGGTAGTAGAAACCGGCCCTGGCCAGGTCCGTAGGGTCCAGGAAGTCCAGCGGCCAGCGGGCGAAAGTGCGCAGCCGGTGGGCCGCCGACCGCTTGAGCAGCGCCTCGTCCGGCTCCGACGTCGAGCGCCCCAGCATTGAGCGCAGGAAGGCGCAGTCGGGCGACAGCGTGCGGTGCCGCTCCACCGCCCCCTGCGTCTCCCGCCAGTCCCCGCACTCCGTGCCGCAGCTGAAGCACCGGGTGCGGCCTCGCCCCACGTGGTAGAACCCCGCACGCGCCAGCTTCAGGGCCATGGTCGGAGACACCTGCGGCGGGCCCAGGATGTTATTACGGAAGGGAAACGGTAGACCAACGTAAAACTGAAAAGTGACATTTAACGAGGCAATCTTGCACCCGCAAACCAACAAAATAGAGGGGCTTAGAGCGATAAACTGGTATCCCATTCACCGGGCGAAAGTGACCCCCACTTGGCTGTCGCCATGTTGTACAATTTTGACCACTAGACACGTGACCGTACCAAATCCTGAGGCTTTTACGCAAAACTGAGCCGAAATTTGTGTTGGGATTGCTGTAAAAAACATGAAAAACTATTTTATCAACACTTTTAGCCCCAGAGATCAGTGTCTAGCTCCGATAAAAACCCAAAATACAGCACCGCGGCTGACGGTATCTAGTGGAGGCATTGCAAACCTGCCCAAGTTTTTGTCGTAAAAGCACATTTTGGACTTAAAACAAACGAAACATAGCTTATCTCGTCGGTTCTGTTATTAAAGATCAATAAGCAATTATATGTGCATGGCACTTCATTAAAATCTCGACTTAAAACTACAAGGTCACGTGTCTCAGGGTCATAAATGTGCAACATGGTGGCGGCCAATTGGGCTCACTTTCAGCTGCTAGTTTATCGCTCTAAGGCCCTCTACCTCGCTGCTGCAAACTGAACCGGAAGATATCGAGCAACCCGCATCAGCGACGAAAAGTGACTGCTCAGAAGTGGCGTTCTTATACGCGCAATACATTCGCAGGGCTGGAACTGTAGAAATGTATTTGAGAGCGGCTCAAACTACACCTTGGACTTCAGCCTGCATCTCAGGTAAGGTCGGGAGCAATTTCAGAATGTTAGGGCGCAATCGAGCTGGTGATGGTTGAGCGTGATTACCCCTGAGACTAAGGAGAAAGGTGACGATGAGGGAGAGGAAGAGCAGAAGTCACAATTAGTTTCTGACTTCCGTTCTTCCTCTCCTGCTGAGCCATAACCCTAGTCTCAGGGTTATGGCTCAGCAATTTCAATCGCGCTTAGCACCACTGAGCAACGAGAGTGGTTAGGGACCTCAGTAGGTGGGATAATGTTGTAGCAGATGCCAGAACTTCAATCAAACTTCGTGAGCCTTTAATGAAGGAGTAACAAGCGTTACAACCTCTCTGTCAATATTAATGAGTACTCGGCACTCGACACATTTCTGTGGCAAATGCCTGCTTTCTGCATTAATTTACTCCGCTACACAGTGCACAAAAACTTCAGAATTTATAGTTGACAATAAACACATGCCTCGCGTAGCACCTGAACAACTTTCTTGCTCCTAAAGTGTTTTATAAGAACCTTAGCGGAGGCAAACTTCTTTTATTGAGGCAAGACTTCAGCGCACTCTTTACCCCAAAAAGATATTCGGCAATATTGTACTAGCTTAGCTCTGGGTGTTAAATACATTGTTTATCTTTGTTTCATTAGGAAGCTTCAGTTTGCTCAATTTGCTTGAGCATGTTAGGCAAGCCAGTTATTGCCTCATAAAAGACTGTCACTTTCAACTTTCCCCCCAAGTCCTTGTTTTTAACCACAAGATTAAAGGGGCAATGACACTCCAAAATAGGCTTTTACTGTCTTAAAAGCTTTAAAATAATGTCAATTATATAAAAAATATTGTGACGAAAAAGAATGTTTAGCGCACAATGCGCCTTTTAAAAAAGAGTGTCCTCCTCTCCTACCAGACATCTCCTTGCGACTGTTTCTCTGATCACGTGGTGAGACGTCATCGACCGAAACCATGACAACGCTGGTTTCGAAATGTCAATATCAGATACTGGAAGTAGCTTTGTTGCGACGTCAACGTATCGCCATCGTCTCTTTGCCATTTTTGCTTTGCAGGTGACGCCTGAGGGTTGTGCCGCAAGCGAGTGCAATGTTGGCAACAGCTCCGAAGATCAAGTGTGCTTTTCAATACAAGATGACCTTTCAAACTTTGAGGAGTAAGTTGTTCGGAATCCCCAATAATTCTCAAGATTTATATGGCCCTGTAATTTCTCATAAAAATGTGACTGGATAATACGAGCAACCCGAGCACGCCGACCCGGTTAATTCGCTGGTCTGGTCTTACAAGTTCACTCTTTAGTTGCTAGGGGGCGCTAGTTGGAACCCCGATTCGGCAGGAAAAACCAACATGGCGCGAATCTTCATTGTTTCACAGTTTCGTTTCTGGCTTGCTGGTCCATGCGCTTAGCAGTCCCTTTGGCAGCATTCCAACACAGACAGAGCAACGCTGGACACAAGTAGGTTTTCGAATGCCAAGGTACAAAACCCTTACCCTGGGGTGGCTATGCAAGACGGCGGGAAGAAGGGACTGGGATGTCGCCGACTGCTGCGATTGGTCAGCGCCAAGCCACTGACCAATCGCAGGGGGCGGCAATGTTCCAGTCCCTTTGTCCCGCCATATTGCATAGTGGCCCCTGCAGTAAGATAGAGTAAATTTTGGAACACAGCCTTTGTCTCCTTGAGCTTGGGCTGGCTCAAAGGACCGGCTTGCATGGGGCTCTCGATGTCGGGCTGTTCAAAGCATTCGGAGCAGTGCAGTTTTCTCTGCAAATTCGATCCCCGCATCTGCGTTCTCGACGGAAGATGCCAAAATATAAATCTTTAACCTTGCATCAGAAAGCTTGCCTCATAGAGGAAGCAGACAAGTCAACATGTTCTAAAACCAAGCTTGCGGAGAAGCGCCAGGTGCCCATCTCCACGCTCTGCACCATTCTCAAGATCGAGGCAAAGATCCTCGAGGCATTAAGCAAGATCGAAGCGTTTGCAGATTCGGTTCCCGGCATACCCGAACATCGAAGCCGCCCTGATTTGCTGGCTCCAGAACGCCCCACTGCAGCTCACCTTCCCACAAAATTACGAGAGAAGACCAACGATTTAGCGTCGCAACTCAATCACGAAGAATTGAACTGCAGCAAAGTATGGTTCTCCCGCTTCAAGGAAAGGAATAACTTGACGTTCCCGACTGTGTGCCGTCAGAGCGCCAACGCAGACGAGACTGTTCTTGAAGATAGGATAAAGCACACCTTAGCACGTACAGTGCAGATGATGTCTACAATCTGGACGTAGTGACTCTATTTCACAAGATGCTTCCGACAAAAACATCTGCAACAAAGGATATTGATGTTAAAGGACTAAAGCAGCCAAAACAAACAGCCCTGTTCAGCGCAAACACGACGGGTGAGCTCAAGCTGGCCCTCCTTGTCCCAGAAAAAGCAGAGAAACCACGATGCTTCAAAATGCCTATAAACTCATCAGCCGACACAACAAGAAGGCCTGGGCCACAGCAGGAGCCTGAGTATGTGCGACTCCACGATCGCATGACTCCGCTGACCACGACGTCTATCTTGCAGCCAATAGAACGAGGTGTTATTTTTATTCCGCACACACGGAAGATCTATGGCCACCATTTTCTGAAGCAAATGTTGCTTTGCTAAGATAACAACAAAAGCTGTTCCATCGACCTTCTCGGAGCTATAGCCCTTATTGTGTGTGCATGAAAACAAGTGAAAGCATACATCGTTGAATGGTGCTTCAAATGTGCGTGTTTTTCTAAGGAACAACCACCCGAGAAGCTGGACGGTGCCACCAATGTTAGTGCTGGCAACATCCGAATCCCGATGAGGATGTCGCCGAGTCGTCGGTACTTTCATCTCCTTCAAATTTCTGGTGCCCCGACAACACAGACTAGCGAGATTGAGTTGCACGCACCGAGCAGTTGTCTTGCGGGAATTTTTTCCAGCTGCGCCTTGTTCTGCACTTCATTCTTTGGAAGCTTGGGTGGAGGGGCACTGTCAAATGTGCTGGTGCGTGGACAGTCCTCGGCAAAGCACCGACACAACATCTGCCCTCACGTTGCTCATCAGTCCGCTGCATTTAGTCTTCAACTGCGATGCTTTGGAACGTGCTTTTCAATGTCTGAGCAGAACAATGGACCAATCATATATCGAAACTCCCTACTGACGCATCGTCCGCTTACGCACGCATTAGCGGGGCAGAGCGAAATTGAGCGCCTGAGCGATAAGGAGAGAAGAGGAAATGATAAACAACACTTCCAATTAAAAAGCAGCAAAAAAAGAAATTACTTTTGATGTTAAATTAAAAAGCAGCAAAAAAATACTTTCAAACTTACTTTTGATGTTACCCAGGAGCACGAGAACTTAAAATCTGGTTTTACGAAAATATATTTTTTTTTTTTGTCTGCAAACATGCTGTTTCCAGGCTTCTAATTTTGAGGGTGATGTTTAAAGGGACAATGAAGGCAATTTCGGACATCTTTTTGGCGATTGAACTGGGTTCCAAGCACGTCTCAGGCCACGTTGCCCAAATTTCAGCCGAAACCGGCGCTTGTGTGCCGCGTAAATCAAATAAACAGTCGCGGTAATAATCGTACCGGAATCGACTGGAGCGACGCCCCGAGAGTTGCGGGAGAAGCCAGGAGAAACGGAGCTCACGTGACCGATGCGCGGCCAAGAAGCGCGACGTCACAAGAGACGCGTCAGCAGTGTTGCCAGGTCTACTGATTTATCAGTAGATCTACTGATTTCGTTCCGGGTCTACTGATTCACTGAAAAACAAGAAAAATCTACTGACTTTTTTTTTAGTAAACATATTAAAAATTTATTATATGGCCCCTTCAGTTCCCAGTGCCGCCCATCGAAGGAAACTCATAATGTCCCAGAATTAAAAACGAAGCACTGGCTAGATGGCCCAGAAGCCCGTCCTATTCGAGTGACGTAGTCGTATATTCATCTATCTATTCACCCAGAGCAGGTTCGGCAGGTTCGACGGTGACACCCGGGCCAGAGCCATATATGGAGAGAGTTTGGCTAGTCTATGATCTCGCCGTAACGTCCCTCTCCCGAGTGAGCCAATCAGCCCGCGGCGCAGAGCGAGAGGTGTTTGCGCATGCGCCTGAACTCTCGGCTGCTCCTATACAATCTACTAGAATAGCTTCGAGTTGAGCGGAGAGAGCCGCAATTTTCATTCATTCGTTCGGCG